CAGGCTTTACAACAAACCTCTCAGGGAACCCAGGGAAATACCTGCTCGCAGTATTTCAGTCCCCCTTCCCACCCAGTTCTGGTGCATGAATGTCAGTCCAAAGGCAGGAAGGATGAGCTTTCTGTCCATCAACTATGCCTCATTAAAAAGGTTACACCCAGTCTGTGGAGGGATCCAACCTCAGCCACGTGCTGCGCCTCAGTCATAATGCTTCTGGAGGGTTCGTCTTTGTGCTTGCTGGTCCTAGGGGGCTGACCTGAGGGGGTCATCAGGACAGGAAGGAGGAAACCTACAGGACTAAACAGTGTTCAGGAAACATCACAGCTGCTGGGGACATTTGATCCTGAAGGATGCTGTGATCCTCCTCTCTCCTCCTGGAGATTTAATCTTTTTACTTCTGCAAAACAAATAGGAGCAGGTTTTAGAGCAGCATTGTGCAATATCAAATTTAGGATTAAAAATTGYTAAATCATTTGACAAAGATTGCGTAGAGACCCAACAAAGAAATCCAAACAAATTCTTCTCAAAATAATAAATATCGAGTCCTTAAAATAAAAATCTGTAGCCCTAATTTTTAAACAGCAACCATTTACCATGTGTTTATTTACAGAAAAAGCAGAAATAGGACAACAGTGGTGAAATGCATGAGAGAGCTTTTCTGGATGACGAAATCCAACAATTTTGAAGTGCATGATTGGATTTGTTGAATAAAGTATACAGATAGACACTTGAAGCCATATCCAATGTATAAAACATAGAATCTACTKTTAATCTAATGTGAGTGAATGACCTGAGTTAACCTTTTGCATGGTGCTTTGTTTACATTGAATGCATACCCGCATTTTAGAATTGAATATCAAAATATTTGAAAACTACTGCAGTGAACGCTTTTAAATTGTGCCATGCGATATAGTTTGGATCCCAAAATTTTCACTTTCTGACCCACAAAAYATCCATGGCAGAGGCTTGTGACGCCAAATATTACTCATGTGAGTGCTCAARCTTTGTCAATAACCTTTATAAATAAGACCCTTGGGGACAATCAAAACGGCTTTTGCAGCAATACTATTTTTCCATATTATGGTTATTCTATGTATTTTATTTTATTGTTTGTTTTTTGTTTTTTTTACTAATTATAAAAAATATTACGTCAATGATCTTTTACCTTTGATTTGATTTCTGGTGATTATCCAAGGACCCCAACTTGACGCTTCATGTCCCACAGTTGGGCCACGACCCTAACGTTGGGAACCATTGATTTAGATAACACTTATTTATGTTTTGGTTTGCAAAGCCAAAACCGTTTAGACACATTTTCCACATTATTTCAGGCAAACATACACATCTCTGCAGGCTACTTTGTAAAAGTTCTTGTCGTGAAACACGCTGTTTCACCAACGATGTGGCTCGTTTAATAAAAACAGCGTGCAGACTGATTGCTGCAGGTGTGCCGCTTTTTCAATCCTTCCCACACACAAAAAATGTCTGAAACTGTATTCAAAAACAACTTTCTGMGGCTCAATAAACTAGTAAATACAGTTTTGGGGAAGTTGTAGTAATTACGCCTATAAGCCCCGACTTATCACCTCCGGACAAACATTAATTTATTACCTCAAGAGTTTCAAWCCTGCAGAAACTGGTCGTCGAAGGTTTGAGAAGAAGCCACTGCAGCAGCATCCCTGCAGGAGGATGTACTGAAGCTCGGAGCTCAAACCACCGACATAAACACAAACAACGAGCAGAAACAGGAATGACAGACGTGTGTGTGAAGTATGCTCACCCAGCAGGGCTCTGCTTCTTGCCCTCCCCGGTGGAGACGCTGCCTGCGCGGCTCGTCAGGCGCCGCTGTCCGCTCGTGCAGCTGCGAGCGGAACAGCCCGCTGATGCGTTCAAGTACTGTCGGTAATATCAYCTTCAGGGAACAGTCGATCTAAATAACGTCACGTTTTGTGCAGCACTCGGTGTTCTCATACTTCCGTTTCTATTTTACACAWTAAGATTAATAAAAGAATATTGAGTGCGTCTATTATGGAATCAACATCGCTATTTTAGAAATAGTTATTTTTTTATTTGTTTTTATTTTATAGTTCATGTTTACAAAAAACATGTGGTGCATTAAAAATTTATGTCTGCTAGTGTGTGTTTGTAATATTTGTATTTTGAGCTTTTTTGTAGCCTACATTTTAATTGTCTAAATTGTAGAGAAAATGTACACTTGCCCAGTTTATTTTTCATCAGTAGGCCACTATAATTAAAACATATAAATCAGTTTACATCTTGATGACAATTTGTTAAATTCAGCAATTATTCTGTTTTTAAAAGAAAACTGTTTGGTATTGGGAACCGTGTTTCAAAGCAGCACCTAAATGCATCATTGGGCTCCATCTCTCTCTCTCTCTCTGCCTCTCTGACGTCAGAGGATTGTTGACGTTCGGCTGTTTTCTCTCAGCATCYTTGAAGGCGCCTGCGGGTTGCCATGGAGACTGTTGATTAAGAGTGCTCTTGCGCCACCTTGTGTCACAACACAGACATGCCGTGTGGAGTTTGCAGGAGTTGAACTTCGGTTTTATCACACAGATATTTCACTCTGAGTTTTACAGACACTAAGCCTACTGTGCAAACACAAGTCATTCCTCGTGTTTGGAAATTATTATTGAGATTTAACTCAGAACATAACAGCATGATCCAGGAATCCCAAACCACTGACAGCTTGTCCTGATGCATCTCAGTAATCCAGGTAAAAAATCAAAAAGAAAAAAATTTGTGTAGGTCTGCTGGA